GACATTGGTGGCTTGATCTGCAATGGAACATTGTATGTCAAAAATCTAACTCATGGGCAGTGAGCTCAGCTCAATAAGCTATTTTTTCTTTGGCTCAATAACTTTGTCTCTTAAATGGTTTTCTGTAATCAACCCACATACTTTTCTCTAGTCAGCCCAAGTAATATAAACTTCTAAGCTTTTATTTTTATTTCTCTGAAAAATAATATGTAATATCACTATTAAAGAATGTTAAAAACAATGTGAAAAATAAGCTGTGCCTTATAAAAATTGAGTAATTAATAACGCAATAAAGTGTAGCTATTTTATGAATATCAATAATGAATGTTAATTCCATTAATATTTTAAATTTCTACTTAGACTCGAGGCTGAGTACTCATTAAATAATACGAAGCGATATAAAAAAGTCTAGTCTGTGACTAACATCATGTTTTGACAACCCTTATGAGCTCTTTTATATGGATTTTTGATAATATTTTCAAAATTATTGGCAGATCTACTTCTTGTACTTCCAGCTGGATAATGGGAAATGATTTATACAGTTTTATTGAATTTACAAGGGTTAGACTAAGCCACATTAATTATTGCTATGTCATTCATGCAGGCTAGCAGGAACTGAGACTAAACATAACCCAAACTAAATATAATTAGCATTAAAATGACTCAAGCATGAAAAATAATCGAATAAGTCTTGATGTTTCTTAATCTTGTCAACAAGAGAAGACCATGCTTTTTTGGCAAACAATCTCTTTGGTTGCTTTCCCCCATGTTCTGAAACATGAGGTGTTTCAGGTCTTTCTTTATCATTTGTATCCGCTTATATTTTTGTTTTTGACACTGCAGCCTATTATGTCATATATAATTAATTTAACTACAAAATAAACAAAGATAGATTTTCTTAATTGCTGAGTGAAACACCATCTGTCCAAGTACCTAAAAATAATCTGCTTTTTCTTTCTATTTACATATTAAAATGATATTCAAAGCTTTCTGATCAATTAATCATCTCTAGAATATATATATATATATATATATATTTATTTTTTCTTCTAAACTCAGGGAGTTTAGTTAAGGTTTTTTACATAACAATTCTAACAATTCTATTCAATTCCTGATCAATAAACCTTGTATGAGAAGTATTTAAAACATATATATGAAAATAATCCAAAATTAATATATTGGCAGATACAAGAAATTATTAGAAAAGAATAGAAGGTCACAAGGTTTTATAAGTGGAGGGGCCACAGCAATAGTATAGCAGGCAGAGCATTTGCTTTGCATGTGTTCAGCCCGGATTCAATCCCCAGCATCCCATATAGCCCCCCAAGCACCACCAGAAGTGATTCCTCAGTGTAGAGTCAGGAGTAACCCCCCATCATTTCTGGGTGTGACCAAAGAAAAAAAGTTTTGTAAGTGGAAATCTAGGTATATTCCCAAAACAGGACAGATCTTGGATATAGCCATGAAACATGAGTCAAGAGTTTCAGTTTTAAGGACAAGATATCTGAGGGGAGACTAAGCCAGTATAACCTTATATCTATGGAAATTCATTTCTTCTAACTCTATATTAGGATAATTCCTAGATATATTTATATAAGGATCTAGAGAGTGAGGAGTGAAATTAGGTGTGTAAAGAAGAGCCACATAGAAACAATGTCAATGCCTGCGAACAGATGCATGGATTAAAAACTCTGGTACTGGGGATGGAGCGATAGTACAGCTGGTAGAGGGTTTACCTTGCACGTGGCCGACCTGGGTTCAATCCCCAGCATCCCACATGGTCCTCCAGGAGTAATTCCTGAGTGCAGATCCAGGAGTGACCTCTGTGCATTGCCAGGTATGACAAAAATAGCAGTAAAAAAAAGCAGAACAGAACAGAACATCTTGTTAAAACAAACAAACAAACAAAAAAACTATGATACATCTACAGAATGGAATACTACACAGCTGTTATTAAAATTTAGGTTGTAAAATTTGCCTATAAATGGATAGACTTAAAAAGTAAGTATTCTGATGAGTGAAAAGAGTCAGAAGGAGAGGGACAGACATAGAATGACACTACTAACCAAGACAAGAGAACTCGGCCAGGAGGACTGGTCAATGATTGGTCAATGGTGTGGGATATGGAGGGTAGTTGAGATAGAGGAGAGCATCATAACAGTACTAGTTGGTAATGATCACTCTGGACAAGAACTGAGTGTTGAAAGCAGGCAGAGGGATATAGATGATAAACTTTCAGCATCTGTATCACAATCCATAATGCCTAAAATGAGATAGAGAGAAAGAAAAAGAGAGAAGAGAGCTGCCTGCCATAGAGGCAAACTGTGATGGGAGGTTGCTTGAAGTGGTGGGAGGGAAGCTGGGGACAGTGATGCTGGGGAATTACACTGGTGGAGGGATAGGTGTTGGAACATTGTATGACTGAATTGTAATTATGAACAGCTTTGTAATGCTCAATCACATGGTTTCAGTAAAAAATAAATATTTTTTTAAAAAACCAGCCAGATACAAAAGATTTCAAAAATGCAACCCTTTTTCTAGTTTGACCAAAGGTGAAATTCAGCAAATAAATATTATTTTGAATCTACTTTTTGTTGATTCATTAAAATAATGTTATACTTTTTGATGCAAAGCTAGTGTCAGACTTACTTATGTGTTATCTTATATGCCCACTCAACTCCACCTTGGATCCTTTCGAGTACTAAAGTCAAGGAAATGATGGAATGATGCCTGATATGGTTGGGCACCCAGATATTCCAGCATTGGCTGATGTAGATTCTGACATATAGGTCCCTGAGCAAAAACATTGTATACTTCAGCTTAAAGAAATATATTCTTAACTTTTGAAAGAAAAAGTATTTCAGCTTCATTGAACAGCTGAAATATCTTTTAAGTCATAAAAACAGAAACCAAATTGCCCATAGTAAATTTTGTCTGTTTCAGGGTTTGTTAAAAGAACAATGAAGTAGATGAGGAACTATAATTAACATCTAGTTAAGTTACAAGTTTTCTCTCTTCATAAATGTAGGCTATGGTTGAACCAAGAGAAAAAAAATTACATGAAATTTTTTTCCTGCTGTGCCATCAGAACCATTTATAAATATATTTCTCTTTATGTTTATATATGTTATATATTGCATAGTGATGAATTTCCGTTCAATTTTAAAATCACTGTTCTTCCAATTTTTCTTCTGTCACTTCTGAATTGGAGATTATGAAAATTAAGAATTCTAAGAGACTTGTAATTGATGGTTCATGATAAGAAGCTTGGCACATCTTACTTGTAAATAATGTTATAAGAAATAATGTACAAGGTATGATTTTATGAGTTGAGTTGAGTTGAGTATTTTTCAAATAAAAATAAAGATATCCTTATGAAGAATGTTCTTAAGGTCATTATAAATCATATTATGAGCATATAGAAATTGTTTTTCTCTATAATATAAGAGGCAGTTGTGGAGCTAAAGTGAGAGTAGCAGATAGGGCAATTGCCTTGCACTTGATGGACCTGGGTTTGATCTACATCCCCATCTGGTACCCCCAGCACCGTCAGGAGTAGCTCCTGAGTTCAGAACCAGGAGTAACCCCTGAGAATTGCCGAGTTGACTCAAACTCTCCCAATAAAGAGGCAATTAATAAATGTGTGAGAATAAATTTTCTGTAATTTTTAATTTATGTGAGAATAATTTAAATTAGTAAATATTTTCTAATATTTTTGTTGAAGCATTGTTTTAGAATATGAGATCAATTTGAAATGATAAAACGAAGATTTTCTCATGTAATGAGTGTTTTTTATTTCATATTATTCATTTTATACAATATACATAAATGGACAATATATAAATGTCAAAATATAATTCTGGGAGGATAACATGTAGTTGAAAATAAAGTTAACCCACAAATACATATTCAATAATATTTACAAAAATTGAAATATATAGCACATTCTATAAGTAGGCACTGTTTTAACAAGTTAAATAGCCAGATTCCTTGGTTTGAGGCAAGTCCTATCCATTGAGGCAAGTCTTACCCATATTCCCCGTTTTGCAGATATGGAAATTGAAATGCAGAAGAGCAATAGACTCACCTCTGATCACTATTAATTTACTAAGTTGGTTGAAATCCAATCAGGTAATAGAGCATCCTAACAGCTAATAACTAGGTTGTGTTTCAATAAAAGTCATGAAAATAGCAGAACACTTCCTCTCATGTATTTTTATTTAAAATAATTTTCTACATAGATATAGAAATTAAAATAGCATTTTTTGAGAACAAAAAACAAAACTTAATACAGATTACAAGTAGAAACGAGGGAAAAGTGAGTCATTCATAAGGAAAATTTATAGAAATAAACATAAAATGAGGAAAATGCAATATTTAAGAATTAATAATATGCAGTTATATTGGATAGAACATTTTTAGAACTGTGAAGATGAAAATATTGACAGTTTTTAAAAAATAAAACATTGACAGTGTTTCTTTCTATATCACTTGCACATTATCATTAGCGCTACTAAAATAGAATTCTTTTAAAAGTCATTTTATTAAAAATTTTACTCTTCTTAAGTTATATGGTTTCAATAGTGTTAAAATTTCTCATATTGATGTAGAGAGTTATCACACACCACAATCCAAGTGGCCATGATCCCTACTTGCTGTCCTTATGCATCTCGGGTCCAATCTTTATTCCCCATCATTCCTCCCCTCATACACTGCTTACATAAATTGATTTTGATATTGACAAGTTCATATTTTATAACTGAGAACTCATATTTTATAACTGCAAAGTCAATCAACTATTATTCTTGTAATATTCTCTTACTGATCTGATCTAGAACCTTGAGGTATAATTATATCAAGAATTTCCTTCCTACTCGAGGAAGAAATTTTTTTCTAATAAATGTTTGTGATTTGGATCTGAAAACCTCTCAAATAAGCTATTCTTAGACAAGAATGCAATCCTTTTAAGTTGTCTTTACCACTGCTTTTTTTTTTTTCAGGTAAACCTGTGATGATTGTGACAGAGTATATGGAAAATGGTTCTTTAGATACATTTTTAAAGGTAAGATTTGAGAGAAGTTTAATTATTTAAAGTGTTGTGTATGGCACATCCCCATTATAGCATGTGTACAGAGTCATTCATCTAAATTTTTCTCCAACAGAGCCAGTGTCTGTAGAGTTTGTGCCATCTCCCTTTGTCTCAGTGGCCTCCAACTTCCTTCTACATCTCAAATATGTGCACTGTGGGCTCATGCTGTGTCTCAGTTGTCCGCATTGGAGTGAGGGTCAGTGTGTGTGTGAGTGCATCTGCTGTGGATGAACATCCTATATGATCTAGGTTCCACTTGTGTCCTCAACAGCCAAAATAGGTTCTGAACTTCCAGAACTCGAAACGTGGAATAAGTGGGTTGGAAAATTAATGGATTGACACAATGTATTGCTTAAATTAGAAGTACTTTGGCTTTTTATTTAGAAGCTTCATAATGCTTTTGTAACCAGAAAAAAAATGCCCAAGGAAATTAGCTCTTTTTTAAATCAGTTAGCATGTGGTAAAAAAATATTTCCTTATAGGTTTTTCACTTTAAGTCATAATTTCCAAGAACCTCTTTACAAATGTATGTGAGAACTTACTGTATATGTTTGCCATGATATTGATGTTGATTCTGAACTATGTTAAAATTAAGGGTTTAAATATAAATATCCCGTATCAAAATAACTATGCTTCAAAAATTCTCATAGGAAGAACGAGAGTATAGGAGGGAGAAAATAAACAAGGTTTTACAAATTTGACTTTGACTTTCTCCAAGTGTCCAATGATGGTGCAACGAATAACGCCTAAAATTGTCTGTGTCAAGCATCCTCGTTAATTATTAAAATAGACTTATAACTCATCTCAGAAACCACCACTTGTTTATATTAGTGAATCATTTTTAGCTATAAGAGATGTCTTATTTCTATCATGCAAATATGAGAGCTTATGTCAAATATTATGGGTTTCAGGAAAGACTTATTTTTCATATGAAAGTCTCCAGATCTTAAGCAATGACAAATGAGTTTATTAAATAAGTGTATGCTAAACAGTTTAGCATATTTGCAGGTCTGATTAAGCCAATAGGCTAGTAGTTGCTCACTACTCTTAGCTATTGGTAGCAGTGCTTGCTATTGATTAGAAATAGCATTTGGAGGGCCTAGAACAATAGCACAGGGGGTAGGGTGTTTGCCTTGCACACGGCCGACCTGGATTCGATACCTAGGATCCCATATGGTCCCCTGAGCACTGCAAGGGTTATTCCTGAGTGCAGACCCAGGAGTAACTAACCCCTGTGCATCACCAGGTGTGACCGCCCAAAAAAATGGCTTTGGGAAATGGTGGTAGCAATAATTAAGACTTACCTGGATACTTAATATGACAATAAAACTAACAGGACACATTCTAATTCTAATATATAGTCCCTGCATGTTCTGAGTACATTTTCCCCGCTGCCTTAAGTCTTTCGGTCTCCTTAATGATAAGGATTTTTTTTTTAAAAATCCATCCTTAGTTCATGTGCCTGCAGCAAAGGCAGTGCCCCTGACAAAGATTGAAGCTTTAGAAAGATTAGGTGTTTGATCATTGTATGACCGAGACTTAAACCTGAAAACTTTGTAACTTTTCCCACAGTGATTCGATAAATAAATATAAGAAGAAAAATAAATAAATAAAATTATATATAAAAAAGAAAGATTGTCTTAGTTGTTTCTCAGTCATGTTCCCAGTACTCATTCCCCCTCAGTGACTGCTGAAACTCCCTGAGCTCTTTGACCACTTCTGTTCCCTGTACTCTTATCCAGCTAAATTCCTCTAAAAGTGCCTCAGAAACATCCAGTGTTTCCCTAAAGCATGCTCTCAAGGAAGGAGTGACAAATCCATATCTTAGATGAAGGAGTAATTAAAATAAAATATCAGCTAACTGTAACTTCCAGCAAGTATTTTTGAAGATGTTCCTCATCTGCTTTGACCAAAGAAATGGCTGATAAGCATTACCTAGTGAACTCTGTATTTCTTTATTTTTCCTTTTTTCCTTTAAATGGAGATTGCATGCAAAAGTGGTAAATAAACAACTGATTAAAGGACAGAAGGAAGACCCTTTCATAAGCCACACCTGATTGGTATTGCTGGACTAATATTTCTACTTCATCTTTACAGAAAAATGATGGGCAGTTCACAGTGATTCAGCTTGTTGGCATGCTGAGAGGCATCGCTGCAGGAATGAAGTACCTTTCTGACATGGGTTATGTGCATAGAGACCTTGCTGCCAGAAACATCTTAATCAATAGTAACCTTGTGTGCAAAGTGTCTGACTTTGGACTTTCCAGGGTACTGGAAGATGATCCTGAGGCAGCCTACACTACAAGGGTAAGATCTAAAAGAATGCATTTCTGAAACTCTAGACCAGAGGTATTTGACTTTTTAAAGATTTAAAACGTAAAAGAAAAAGGATATTCTCTCAATATATAGACAGGTGAAAAATACTGCATATTTTTTGTGTTATATATCAGTGCAGGTAAATATTAAACTCAGATAAGCAAAGAATTTACCTTATGATTCTCAATAATTCATTTTTTCCCTATAGGTAAGAAAAAGGAAAGGTTTGAAGTTATGCTGGGTGTAAAAATATAAAAGTCATGAATCTTTATATGTGAGACATCAAGAATGTTTTAAATTACAGGGAGAAGGCATATTATACATACACGTGTATATAGTCTCTATAAATATATGTAAATAAGTTTATGGAATCTTATTAAATTCTCTCTATATACAATATACTACGATTTTTAAAAATAAACAAAAATAGGGAGCTGGAGTGATAGCACAGCAGGTAGGTTGTTTGCCTTGCAAGCGGCCGACCTCGGTTTGATTCCCAGCATCACTTATGGTCCCCCAAGTACCTCCAGAAGTAATCCCTGAGTGCATGATCCAGGAGAAACCACAGTGCACCACCGGGTGTAAACCAAAAAGAAAAATAAATAAATAAACAAAAAATACATGCACTGATTAATTATTCACATAATAGAGAAAAATTATTTTTTGTATATGTCTTTTTTCTGTAAAATGTGAGTATAGGTATAACAGAATTTTCTGTATAATCAACATTGTATTATATTTCTTGAATTGAATCCATCTTAATAAACTATTAAATTAAAAAATTTTCAGTGTCATCAAATTAGATACAAAATTTTGTGTCAGGGCCAGTTTTGAGTATTGAGTATTTTGAGTATTTCCAGTAAGGAACTTCTCTTCCACATGACCTACCCATGCTTGATTCCTGGCACCATGTATGGTACCCTGAGACTCTCCAGGAGGTAATTTCTGAGCACCAAGGCAAGAATAAGCCCTGAGCACAGCTGGGTATGGCCCAAAAGAAAGAAACAGTACAAAACAAAAGTGCATGTGATGTTCTTTCTGAATTAAATCTGTCTTAAAAATATATATTTGTTTAATTCTAATATCTTTAATAGCATCAGGTTACTTATCAACTTAAACTCCCTTTTAAGAATAGAAAATTGTTGTAATATTTTCAGTATTTAATTTTTTCTACTTTGTTTCAATATGGAATTTGTCATCTCTTATCATTTTTAATTTGTTTTGGGGAGAATCATAGTTTGGGTAACTCCTGGCTCTGCACTTAGGGATTACTTGTTGAAGACTCAGGAATCATGTGCAGTGCAGTGCCAGAGACAGAACCTAGTTCAATAGACACAGGGCAATCACCTAATCCATTGCACTATCTCTCAGTCTGCAGTCATGTCTTATTCTTAAGCTAAAATGATACACATTTTCTTGTTTAACATTATTTTAATTATTCCTACCAGTTATATTCCTTTTAAATCTAAATTCTTAGAAGTCCTTTTTTTCTTTGTTGCTTTGTGACTCATAGGAATCTATGTATTATGTTGTGCATCAGATCAGGAAAAACGACTAGGCCTATTAAAAGCCTATTAAATGAATTGATTAATTAAAATAATTAAATTTATTCTCAACCTAATTATCATGATCACTATTTGCATTAAATAGAATTTTAAGATTTCTCCTATGATTAGACTTAATAAATCTGGTATAATGAGATTAAGATTATAGGAAACTCCATCTCCAGTATGATTCATTCAATACATAAAGTAGATTTGTCAATATATCTCAGCGTGTCATGCTGGTGAAGAAAAGGGAGAGGAAAAACAGGTCCTGAGACCCTCAGACAGACTCCTCTAAAATGAAGTGCAGTAGTTTGTGCAAAATCTATATACTGAGATATGGTAAGTGAACTCCAGATAATACTGATAACAACATTATGATCAGAGAACCAGGAGAAAAATTCTAGACTTATGTTCAATCCACAAACTACAATTTTAAAAGGAATGGTAAGAATATCTAGCAAAGATACGGGAATGTAATTTTTTTGTAAATGTTTAATTGGCAAAATTATACTTAAGGAAAGTCTTAAAGTAAGTGATAAACACTCTAAGTGTTTTCAATACTCTAGGTGTTTAGGAAGCAGATCATTAAATGTAACTTCAACTAAGAGAACAATTTCAAGTACTACCTGAAAATGTTATTTCTACAAGTGTCCTAAAATTTTGATTCATAAAAACAGTAGTTGAAATACCATTTTCCAATTTTTAAACCAAAAATTCCATTCATTAAAAAAGAAAGACAAATGTTAATCATTTTACAAGAAAAAATTCAAAATCTATAATATTCATTCTCTCCATTTATATATATATACATATATATATATATATACATTTGCCTATAAATGAATTTTTTGGCATCCCAAACAGAGAAAAAAAACATGTAGGGGCAAAATATTAAAATGTTTATTTTGTAAAATAAGAGAAAGCCAGTAAAACAATGTTTTCTATGTAAATAAATTCAAACGTTAAAATGTTGTTTTTTCCCATAGTCTAATTTCAACACTTTTCTGTACTAAAAAAAAAAAAACTAAGCTCAATAAATTTTAATTTGATTGAATTAAATGAGGTTCCTAACGCTTAGGTAAAGGGGAAATAAAGATATAATTGAACAAAGACAAAATTATGCCAAGAGAAATGAGAGAAATCAGTCTAAAGAAATTGCATAGTACCAGGGGGTAGAATAACTAAGTTTTTGAGTATACTGATTTTCATGCTTGTCTTATTAACTATTAAGCTTACCAGGGTTGTATTCAGCAACCAAGATTTTACACTCAAAATTCCCATATTGAAAAAAGCACCCTGGGCACTTGAGTTCTTTACTCTCTGTTAGAAAGTCATGAAAGTCTACCTTATTGATTGCCTGACTGCCTTCTTTGCCCACTTAGAGCTGCCATCCTGATACTGTAATTGAGATGTGGATCCTGTGTGTGTTCCAGTAGTCAAACAGAATTTAAACTAGAAACCTTCCGGACAGCCAATTAGTAGTCAGCCCACAAGTGCTTATGGGCTGAGATATGTGAAAAGACACTGCATGCTGTCAAACAGATTCACTTAAAAATGCTACATCTCTTTCTAGATCTTTCCAGTGAGGCAGCCATTTCCCTAGGCATATTTGAAGTATGTGGGAGTTTAATTGTTTTTCAATTTTAGGGAGGCAAAATTCCAATCAGGTGGACTGCCCCAGAAGCTATCGCATACCGAAAATTCACCTCGGCCAGTGACGTCTGGAGCTACGGAATCGTGATGTGGGAAGTGGTGTCTTATGGCGAGAGACCCTATTGGGAGATGACCAATCAAGATGTAAGTATATAACTGTCCTCCCACAAGTTTGGAATGAGACTCACTGAATCAAGTGACTTAAAATGCACTTTCCATTTCTGAAAATGACAGTTGGTTTAAAAAATGAAATATTTTGCTTTCCCTCAGATCTATTTTGTCATTGTTGAAATATCATTTATGCAGAAGTTCAAAATGAGTTAGCATAAAGGGAAGTTATTGTTATATAAAAGCTCATTCCCTTGCCACACAGTTCCAGCAATACTGTAGTGAAGGTTTGTTCATTTTATGTCAGTATCATTTTAGAGATGAAGAAAGAGCCACAAAAGAATAAATACTGACAGTAAAGTGCGTATGATTTGCATTTGATAAAGGCAGCTAAAATTCCAAACCAAAAGGATGAATGAAATTGATTTAATAGTGAATGCACATAGAAGAGAAAAGGGAATAATCTTTTTTATTAAATATATATATACATATATATATATGAAGAGTTTTCTGTTTGACTTGGAAACATTTTCCCACATGAAAAAGAAATTCATGCTAGTACAGTAGAATTCTAAAATTAAAAAAGCAATGGAAAAATCTTCTATACAAGTTCAGAATATATGCTTTATGATGCCTGGACACTGTATTTTTATGGTCTTTGCTTTCATAAATTTCCATTGCCATCTATTCAGTATAGTCTTTCATTTGGAATCATATTGAAACATTATATTTTCCTTCAAATAAGCAATTATGAAAGCTAACATTTATTAAATCTTTATATATGTTATGCAGTCTTTTCTGTTCTACCAGTCTGTTCTGTTCTCTAGCTCCTTACTTCTTTGTAAAACCAGTATTTTGAACAACGAAAAATCATAACTCAATATTGATTTTAACAAAATGCCATGCTAATTTAAAACATTCATTTCCCCCCAATTATTTCTTTGATCCATGCTCTGTAAAACTCTCACTTTCCTGTGTCTTGAAGTTTCATTAGTTCTCTCATTATTTTTTAATCAACATTCCCATGCCAATAGTTAACAGTTACATTCAGATATAAAAGTCCAAGTCCAGTCAAAGTCAATCCCATATTCACTTCAAAGAATTGTACGCAACTTCGGGGCCAGCCTAACCCTAGGTACCTGTACTGGGGGGAAAAAGGCCAGATTTATATTCCCATTTTTCTACTGAAGTCTTTATCTAAGTTTATTATAGAGGTTCAGGATTGAAGAAGTAGGAAAGAAGGGGCTTTCTATTGTAGATTTGTTCACGCCTCTAGCAGTGCAGAAATTCAAACATTAGCTCCATGGTGAAGTACACAGATATTAAAAGCATCATTGAATGACAACCCTCCGCAAGGAGTCTAGACGGAAATATATTCTAATCAATTTCCTCCAGTCTCTCTCAGTTGCACATTCTGTATCTCCTAGGCCCTTACTGAACTTATATGTTTAGATATTTACTTTAGGTAGCACTGGTAGCAATGTACTCCAGTTGTTCATCGATTTTCTTGAGCGGGCACCAGTAACGTCTCCATTCAGATATTTGCTGTTACTGTTTTTGGCATATCAAATACATCACGGGTAGCTTGCCAGGCTTTGCCATTCAGGCAGAATACTCTTGGTAGCTTGCCAGGCTCCCCGAGAGGGGCGGAGGAATCAAACCCAGGTTGGCTGCATGCAAGGCAAACACCCTACCTGCAATGCTATAGCTCTGGCCCAGATGTTTACTTTACTAAAAGAAATGCGTTCTTCTTGGGTATCTTACTAGGGTTTTCTCTTTTAGATACTTGCATTCTGTTCCAGCAAGCCTGCCCTCTTCAAATTTCCCCAAGTGGGAAAAGAGAGACTTTTTAAAAAGAATCTGTTCATGGTATTCTTGTAGCAAGAATTCATAATATATTTAACAATTCACTAGAGAGATGTTACTGCTTTAACTGTTTTGTAGTTAAGAAACAAAGCTTTGGAGAAATTAAAAAACTATCTAAGGACCAAAAAAAAATAAAATTTATACTAGAAATTTCACCCTGATTCTCAAAAATGTGTGTAACTAATTAACACACTGTATCAAATTGAATCAATGTCTACTTCCTCCCTTTATTTTCCAACCTGTGATCCTTGATTAGTCTTATAATTGAATATAACATAATCAATTCAATATATAATGACTACTCTGGATTGATCTAGTCTAGACAGATACCAGACCTATTTACTAATTTTTAGTTTCTAGATAAAATCCAAATGTTAACTTGAAGTAAAAAGCACTTCATGTCCTGGCTTCTAACGTTTTTATGGCTTATTTCAACGCCATTGGCCATTTATCTTTTGTGATGATATTTTATTCTTTCCTGACTTGCCTCATTCCTTTCCTCAAAGAAGTTATCTACCATAATTTTCTTTTTTAATTTCTTACCACACTTGTGATATTTTGAATTCTTATTCTATCATTCAAAATTATTTTTCTTCCCAATTATGTATATGCACATGTAGCATTTTCATCTATATTATTAGCAATTACACCTGTTACTGTGTATATATCATAAATTTAAAAAATAGACCAAAACAGGGCACTATGAAAGCTTTTACGATTTGGGGGGCCCAGAATTGTTCTGGGCATAATGACTGAGTTGCTTGCCTTGCTTGTGATTGACCTGACTTCAATTCCTGAACCATATGATCCGCAGGAGTGATTCCTGAGTGCAAGTTAGGAATGTTCCTTAAGCACTGTTGGATATGGCCCCAAACCAAAGAATTTTTTTTTTCATATTGGTGGGGCTTACGCAGCTCTCCAGGTTGACTGATATATCTTGAATGTAGGTATTCTTCATTTAGGTAGTCTTCCTCTTGCTCTGGGAACTACTTGACTAGATGTGAGTTCATTTGTCAATTGTCTCAAAACTAGAATGAACCATAAATCCCTTAGGCTGGGGTTGGTGCTCAATGAACAGAGATGCATGCATAGAATGAGACCCTTGGATTCTATCCCCAAGACTTCATTCTCACCTCTGCAACTCCCATCTCTACTGTTTCAGGGTATGGTCCTGCTGATCCCAGAGCATCAACCCTTTTTTTTTTCCTTTCAAGTTTAGGTCTTAGGTGTAGTGATTGGTTGCCTTAAGAAGTGACAAGGTGGGGAGAGAGGATCATTTGACTTTTCTATTATTTTTATTTTTACAATTGCTATAGCACAGCGGTAGGGCATTTGCCTTGCACGCAGCCAACATGGCCGACCCGAGTTCGATTCCTCCTCCCCTCTCAGAGAGCCCGGCAAGCTACCGAGAGTATCTCGCCCGCACGGCAGAGCCTGGCAAGCTCCCTGTGATGTATTCGATATGCCAGACACAGTAACAACAAAGTCTCCAATGGAGATGTTACTGGACCCGCTCGAGCAAATCGATGAACAACGGGAGGACAGTGATTGACAGTGATGGACAATCTCTATGAATTACAGAGCTACAAAATTATTTATGATTGAATGCGGGGGGGCCCGCCAGACCACTCTCCAGCCTGCGGAGGTGGCCCTAGGATCCGTAGGTGCAGGAAAGGGCCAACCGAATGAACACAAGACACAAAAGACAAAATGCAGCTTAGGAACAGAGAGAAAAAGGGACAGACTTTATTGAGGGCTACAGGTTGTTATATAGGGTCCGGGGCAACCCAGTCACATAGTAGTAAGGTCAGCAACAAGAACTTTACATAGCATTCAAGGTAAAACATCTGTACATAAAAGGGTCTTATAGCAGCAGCTGCAACCTGGGGATATCTATAGATAAGTCCAGATTTACGCAAGTATCTGCCTGCCTGTTCATGGTCACCGGACAAATATCTGTTAACGTCAGAGGGTCTTGGGAGGCTTCTAAGGAGGAGGCTCTCAGGGTCTGTGTAGACCCCGCAAAGGGGGCTCAGTAATTCACGGTCTTATAGAGCAGTCTTGGCTCCCGACAATTGAACTTCCAGTATATAATGATACAATAATACCAATGCTTTCATAATTTTTAGAGTCATTTTTCTATTACTATTTCCATTGTCCTGGATCTCACCTATCACTATCACTATCACTATCACTATCACCCCATTGTTCATTGATTTGCTCCAGCGGGTGCCAGTAACGTGTCCATTCATCCCTGTCATGTGCTAGTGTAGCCTTATGGTATCCTGGGGGCTCTTCCAGAGTCAGGGGAATGAGGACCATCATTGTTACTGTTTTTGGCATATCAAGCACACCAAGGGTAGCTTGCCAGGCTCTGTCATGTGGGCGGGAGACTCTCGGTAGCTTGCCGGTCTCTCCGAGAGGAATGGAGGTTTTTGGGGCAGCCTCTACTCACCCTTACAAGTGTTCCCAATCAGACATATATGCAGGCAGTATACTCTCGGTAGCCTGCTGGATTCTCTGTGAGTGAGAACTAGACAATAAGAGGTCTCACCTATAAGTCAGCAAAACTATTTGAATATCAAAGGATGACTTTTTATTGGGTATGCCTCTTGTTTCTATTTTTTAAGTTCCAGTATGACAGAATTATGTATAAGATACACATAGCTTATTATGCTGGGTAGCTTTATATTGAAACAAAGAGACTTTTTAATGGTAATATAAATCACAGTATAATCAATTGTGAGAAATTTAGGTCTTATCCTAATACTGAATTGTCAAGATTTGGTGGTGAACAAACTATTCAGTTTCATAATGTCAGTAAATTATTGTCTAAAATTAGTGTATTTGACTGATGAATAACTATTCTTTAGCTAGTATGGTGTCTTAAGGGTACTACTTCACTGGGGCAAAAATAATTATTTTAAGGACTAGTAAAATAATTATGTTCATAGTAATTCTTACTCTTTTGGCACAAAGTTGCACATAAATTATTAGTAGTGTTTCAGATAAAAATTCTTTTCCTTGATCTTTATTAACAAGAAATTACTTAACCTTATTGGAGCTCATGTGGTCCATCTATAAAATATGTGTAATAATTCTCATTTTACTGTGATGAAAGTATGCTTGTTGCATTCATCTTAGTGCCTATTGTATCATGTCTAGACTATTATAGGTCCTCAAAGAATCCTTTGCCTAGAAATAATTAGATATATTAATACTGTCACTGTCCTCTCATTGTTCATCGATTTGCTTGAGCAGGCCCAGTAACATTGTGAGACTTTTTGTTACTATGTTTGGCATATTGAACATGGGTAGCTTGCCAGACTTTGCCGTGAGGGCAAGATACTCTTGGTAGCTTGCTGGACTCTCCAAGAGGGGAGGAAGAATCGAACTCGGGTCCGCTGAGTCAGCCATGCGCAAGGCAAATGCCCTACCCGCTGTGCTATCGCTCCAGCCTCTGTGGCAGAGTCGCACAGCAGAAGCGTGCTGGCCTATATTAATACTATTAAGTGGAAATGCCTGCAATGAAAAATGTGGAGAACCAAGGGGAAGCTAGGAACTATTTCTGACTATGACCTGAGTACAGCTTAGATGGGTAAAACCACCTGGGAATTAAGTGCAGTTTTAAAAGAGGTCAGCAAGTCTATGAAGATTTCATCGAACCTATATTGCCTGTCATAGGAGTCTTATATGAATGAACCACTCTTATATAGTAATACTGTGTAAATCATGAACAATGTAAATGGAGTGATATATTCTGATATGATTTAAGGTTGGGAATGATCAATCAATAGTCAGTTACCATTGTTCAAGGTAAAAAATCTTTTGGGAACACACCCAGCCATATTCAGGGGACTGTTTATGACTTGATACTCAGGAGTGACCTCTGTCAATACTCAGGAGAACATATATATGGTGCTGTGGATTCAAGTCAGTTTAATAGCTACAGACCAGACAAGTGCATTGATTCCTGTACCAAACAGACAAACGTACATGTTCTACTTCTTTTGAATCATAAACTTGCTTCTCCCTCCTGTTCATGAAGCATCTCTTCTGTGGCTGGTGGATATTTTCCTTAAGTCAAATTCAGAAGTATTTACAGCCTGAACTTCTTTCAGTTGATCTGAGGATCTCTTGAGTTCATAGTTTCTCCCCTTCCATTATCTCTTCTGAATTTTCCTCGTAACCTACTCAGATTATTGTAGTTAACTACAATAATGTAGTCTGAACCAATATTGTATTTTGGAGGTTACATATTGAAAAGATATAAGGGATATTTCTACATGTATCACCTGAATTTCATAGAATTTTCCCTACCTCAACTATATAAAAGCAGTTTATATGTCTTCTGTTGCCCAGACAAAATTGACTCCACCATCCCAGAGACTCCTCTCTTCTGAAGATCCTGTCTTCTATACTTATATCTGGAAATGTGTCTCAAAGTATTAGTGGATGACTTAATTGTTCAATAGAATTTATTGCCTGGCATAATTCACTGCAACAAAGGAAAATATAACAAGTTTCTGATTTAACATATGCTTCACCCTCAGGAATGGCACCCTTCCTTTGAGACTTGGAGGTGCATCAACTGTGCTTTGGAAGGGTATTTTTAACATTCCTTAAAGTTATTTGTTTCTGCTTAAAAAGCTAAGTACAGTGTTTTCTAGCACCAAATACCATCAGTTTATACATTTTGGGTACATTTTTACCTGATCAAATCATTTTGATAGCTTTCTATCAAATTGGGGGAAATATTTTTACTCTATTTATGAGAAAAGTTTACACATGTATACACCCACTGCACAAAGAGAGCCCATCATTAAATAATCACTATTGCATCACTATGTGTGATGTTTTGCATTCTGCTTTATGAAATAAGTATGTTTATTGGGATACAGAATCCTAGTGTTTTATGTTTAAATACTGACAAACCTGTGGGTAACATTAGCTAGCTTGATCATAAGCCTTCATATTGATTATTGACAACTTATTCTCTTTACTTGTATGTTTGCCCAAATGAAATGTCCTAAAACGCCAGCTTAAATCATGAACTATTTCATACAATCACAACAGAAATTTTTATTTATTTATATCTGATGTCACAATGAGCTTTCTTTCCCAAAAGCTGATCAAAATATCATATACACCGAAAAAAATAAATCTTAAAAAAATAGACAAAATAAACTTAAAAATTAAAAAAAATGAGACTGACTCTTACATAATAACAAGGGCCAAACTGAGGGCTCAATTTGTTACCAAGTCAGTAGTGATGTATCTAATTCACAGTATTGGGTTTTATGCATTGCAAGAAGAGTTAAAATTCTTTGCAGGGTTTCCGACTATTAGTTTATATATCAGTGCTAAGGAAATGTCGATTTAATGACAATAATTCAGATGTAGAGTATTTAAGCCAATGAAATTTATCTGTAAAAAATAACTTCTCTTATTTTTTTTATTTTTACCCTTTGTTCATTACAACCACTTACGTTAACAAATGTGATTATAATGAAGTTGGTTAGAGTGTAATTCATGCTTTTATGTGCTATAAATTATATAACAATATTCTGTGTTATGCCTTCAGTAGATTTACATTTCATAAATGAATAGAATGTTAATTCCATTTATTTTTCCTTAAAACTATGATAAAAATTTCAGTACAAATAAAAAATATTTTTATTATCCAAAGTATGAAATTATGGTATAATATATTTTAAGGATAAATGCTAAAGATTAACTTAGAATTAATATCCATTACCTAATTACATGGGGCAAATTCTAATTTAGAGACAGTATTATATTTCTTTCTATAAATCTACCAGACAATAAAGCTGATTAAATAATAATTCTGAAAATGACTTCTGAGATCACACAACTTAAGTTTTATTAAAACTAATTAAGTTTATTCATTTCACAGTCACATGTAAAGAGTACTGCTCAGTAAGTGGGGATTTATATATTTAACCAATATTTTTAAGTAGATGCTGAAAAAATAAATAAACTGTGTGGCCAGAGAAATAGTGCACAGATACATGCTTGCCTTGCGAAGAGTAAACCCTGACTCAATGTCTGGCACCATGTATGGTGGTAGTGAACTCCAAACACTGACAGGAGTAATTTCTGAGCAAGATCCAGGTATGGCCCAAATCCCCCTCTCTACAAATAAAGTGAGTTGATTGACATCAGCTTTTGGGAAAGAAAGCTCATTGTGACATCAGATATAAGTAAATAAAAATTTCTGTTGTGATTATATGAAATAGTTCATGATTTAAGCTGGCGTTTTAGGACATTTCATTTGGGCAAACATACAAGTAAAGAGAATAAGTTGTCAATAATCAATATGAAGGCTTAAGATCAAGTTAATAAATAAATGAAATTTCTTTGATATCTAAAGTCTTACTAGAAAAATATATTTAAAGTTAAATCAGAGAAACTTAATACAAACATTTTGAGAAATATAGTAGTTATTACTAAGTTGGTGTCATTTAAACATTTGGATTTTAACAAAAATTGAATAAAACGTTATTTTTAGTAGCACATTTATTTGTCTTCTGAGGTTAGACATTTTGATTTTAGCAGCAATAATAAGAATATATATGCTGAAACATGTTACAATTAGAAAATGCTCCTTGTGTGCTTACATTTAAAATTGCCAATTCCTTTGGTACGTGAGTGCTTCCAAAAGCCTGACAGAATGCAGTAGATAATAAACAGCCAGACCTTGGCATTATTAAATGATACATGAGACAGTTATGCTAATTTAGCCTTTGACTCGTCCATCATTTACCTTCTAAAGGTCTCTTTTAAAGTAAAATTGCAGTTCCACTATCTTAAGCAAAAGTGGTTTTGCACCTATTATTTTTTTATTAAAGACATTAAATTTCAGAGAAATCAACAGAAAATTTTATCTGTACATGGATCCAGAATGCAAGGCTAACTATAACATAAGCTATTTAACTTATGTCAACTTTATTATTTATTTTATATTAGGATTTTAGGTAAAATGTATTCACAACTATTTTTATAGAGATTTTTATAAAGAGCCTACTTTTATATTGTGAAAGCCTTACATATTTTGTCGTTTTATTACAAGGCAAACAAAAGTATTCAAAGATTTTAATAGTAGTGATGCCTGTTGTTACTGTAAAAGAAAAAAAATTGGACAGTGAGAACACTCTCAGGCTATCCTACACTAAATTGATGGTTTTGAGAACTGTTTCTGTTTTACTTTCACAGGTGATTAAAGCAGTCGAGGAAGGCTACCGTCTGCCAAGCCCTATGGACTGTCCTGCTGCTCTCTATCAGTTAATGCTGGATTGCTGGCAGAAAGACCGAAATAGCAGACCCAAGTTTGATGAAATCGTCAACATGCTGGACAAGCTGATCCGTAACCCAAGTAGCTTGAAGACGCTGGTTAATGCATCAAGCAGGTACAAGTCCAGACCTGGGAGATTGTCCTTAATGGAACTAATTCACATTGATTCTATAAATGTGATGTTAGTTAATGTCCATTACATAATATTTCATTTTTGTTAATCTATTAATATATGTGACCTATTTTATTTGGATATGGTTATGCATATATTATTCTCTTATAGGAATAAAATGTAGAAGTTTAAATTAGACTTAAAAGTTTGAGGACTGGAGACAGTACAGCAGATAAGTTGCTTGCCTTGCATGTGATCAACCCAGGTTCGATCTCCTGCTTCCCATATGGTCCCCAGAGTATCTAAAGGACAATTACTGAGCACAACATCTTTGAGTATTATCAGGTGTGGCCCAGAAATAAAACAAACAACAAAATAGCATTTATACCTATCCAGTAGTGTAGCATGTCAGTTTGAGGAAACACTAAACTATAGTCCAGATAAGGTATCACTGTCCTCCCATTGTTCATCGATTTGCTCGAGTGGGCCCAGTAATATCTCCATTGTGTTACTTGTTGTTACTGTGTTTGGCATATGTAATATGTCATGGGTAGCTTGCCAAGCTTTGCCGTGTGGGCAAGACACTCTCGGTAACTTGCCGGACTCTCCAAGACACATATTGGAATTTTTTAAAAGTATTAAAATACCATAGGGAAAAGCCAGCTAAGCCTAATGTATTTGAACCAGAAATATCTAATAATAGTTGCTCCTCTATCCCCTAAGAAAAAATTTTTATATCCTTTATTTTTTAGGAGCATTGGTAACTCCTATAGGGACTTTACTCATTCTGTTTCACATAGATATCTGATTAACCAACTTTTTCTGCAGGACTTAAAACTAATAATGAATTGTCTTACTTTAAAAAATGTGAGCAAAAAAGGCATCTAAATTTTTTCTTGAATGCACATGAATGCATTTAGGTACTGTTGCATATTTGTAAAGCATGTTTTGCCTTTAATCTGCAGAATTATAAACTATTATCTCAAATAATACATAGGATGAATCCTGTACTGGTAAATTTACAAGTTGTTATTTCTATTATTATTGAGGTACTTTTTTATTTTACAAGAAAAAGTGTCATTCGGGTAAATTAATGTGCTGCCTATGATCAAGAACTAATGAGATACAATTTGTTGATAAAGTCACATAAGTTCTGTGATTCTGACATGACATTTGTTTACAAGGTAAAAAGCCATTTTTAAATACAAATGAATCTTCAAACACTGTTGGCATCATTACGTTTTTACAGTAGCAACTGAAATATTTTATTTTCTTAACTGTTTCCTTATGTTATTCGTAAAATATCTGCTTTTAAGTTAGTTATGCTCAGCCCCAATCCGAGCAGGCTTGAAGATCTCAGCCCCGGGACCCGCATGCCTTTGTTCCTCTGCCAGTTCCTTCATGCTTGTGGAGAGTCATCTCAGCATGGTGGTGGCTGGTTCTGGAGGTCTTCGGCTGCCAGAGCCCTGGTTAGGGTGGGGAGGAAAACTCAACTCGCTCCCCTCTAAGGGGCCTGGCGAGGACAGCCAGGCGCAGGGGCAGGAGACTCTGCTGAGCATCCTCGACCCAGATCCTCCATATTCCAGTAGGCAGGGGTCACCCACCAACTGGCCCCCTGACGCCGTGTAATCCCATCAACAGCCAAGACCCAGAGACTGTAAAATCCAGCTCCAACATCTTACTATCTCATTCTTACTTTGGACAAACTGGCAGGGTACCAAATGTAACCTGCACACACGGCAGTCTGGCAAACTCCCCGTGGCATACTCAATATGCCAAATACCAGTAACAATGATGGGTCTCATTCTCCTAACACTGAAAGAACCTTGAATATGGAACTTATTAAAAAATTCTCAGGGCTAGGATGAAGGAGACATTACTAGGGCCTGCTCGAGGCAATCGACGAACAACAGGATGGTCGTGATGGTGAAGTTAGTTATTATGTAAAATGTAAAGCAGTTCTCTCATTTAATTTAGGTTGTTATTATAAATTGATGTTAGGAAAGAAAATCACAGAAAGATGCTCTACACTCTAAATTTTATTAATTTTATCAGTTCCATCATGATACCCATCATTTCTAAATCTTTAAAAATTTACCATGCTTCCTTGTATGCAGTGCACAAAATTTAACTTGTGCTTTTTTGTTTTTAAGCAGTTTAGACTATACCATTCTGTGCTCATCTTCATTCAGGCATCTATAATTACTGGTTCAAAAGGTTTCATTTTATTTTATCCTTTAACTATTTTCTTGTCCTTTTCCTAACTCCGATTCTCCTTTCTACCAACATTATCTCAGCTTTAATATTGCAACTCTCCACAATATCAATTTCAAGATCTGACTCTCAGATTCTTCCTATATTTTTTTCTCCAACAAATATTTGACTCCATTACTTAGTGACTGTGAATTACACAATACATTCATTATTCATACAAAAGGTATGCATTCATGTGTCTTCTATATGTGATTCTGGAGACTACATGTTGAGCAGGCAGGACTGAATAACTCATACTAGGGGAGAATAATAAAAGAATAAAATTCTTTTTAAAATTACTTTTGGAGTGAGGAATGAGAGAAGGATTAGCAGGACAACTTAGAGACTAGAATAGTTGTGAAGGTAAGAGAACATGATGTCTTGAACTAAAATGGTGACAAAGACGTCAGAAAACACTATCAGACGTAGTATTTTAGAGGTCGTATAGAAAGGTTGTACTTTGATAAATAGTGAAGGGAAAGTGAACAAAGTAAAGGAAGGCTCTTGTATCTTTATATTTTAATGATACAGAGGGAAATGGATAAGGAGAACTGATTTTGGACATGTTGGAGAATAGTCTGTTTGAAATATGAAACTATATAGCAGGTTTATGCATATTTAAAAGACTCTAGGAGATATTTTTAAAAATAGAGATAAGTGTAGTTTCTTCCAAACCAATTTCTGTCCATTGCTTTTGAATAAGCTACACTAAAATTAGATGAATTGTAAAAGAGGAAGGGAGAAAGTCCAACAAACAGAAGAGAAAGCTATTTGTTCTATATTCAATGATTGAAATTTTCTTACAAAAACCCTCATTAATGAACATATAAATTATTTTTATTTTTACTCCTATTAAAAATAATGTGCACATGTACACTTATCATTTTAACTTATTTCCTTAGAATGCATTTCTAAATGTGAATATCATCACCGTCATATTATTATTATTATCCATAGAATGTGAACTTCATGTAGTTTAGAGCTTTTCATGATATTATTGATTCTATTTGATGTTCTTCTGCAATTGAAGTATGTTTTGTTTTCCATGTTATTTAAAGCCTAAATAAATTAACACTTTTTCTATGTAAAATAATTAAAGAAAGAATAAATAAATTATGTTGTATCTAGTAAATTACTTAACTAAGTATGAGAGTTTATACAAAGAATCAGAAACAATTAACATCACACGAATTACCAGAGCCTACCTTTCTGCATTTAACATTTTTCTATATAACATTATTTTTAAATAACAGTAAACAAATACATCTAAATCATTATGTAAAAATTTCAATCATTGTTTTGAATTATTGAAAATTTAATTATTCATTTTAAGAACTCATCTCATTTATTATTCACAGAAAAATATCTGAACAAATTTTATATTACTTTGAATTCTATTTTCCATGTTAGCATGTGCATTTCCCTGTATAAATAACTATACTTACAAATTCATTGACTATAAAATGAAACACAAGAAACTGCTTTTATTTTAAAATGTTTTACTTAATATTTGCATTTTTTGTGTTTTAGAGTGTCTAATTTATTGGCAGAACATGGTTCACTGGGATCTGGGGCCTACAGATCAGTAGGCGAATGGCTTGAAGCAATCAAAATGGGCCGGTATACAGAAATTTTCATGGAAAATGGATACAGTTCAATGGACGCTGTGGCTCAGGTGACCTTGGAGTGAGTAATTTTTTTGATAATTTTTACATAATTGCTGGGCAAGAAAAATTGTTCAGTAACCAGTCTGGATGAGGTCAAGGAAAATCAGTTAACCTTTTCCTCTGTGTGGCAACTTTCAAAAGACGCCACTTCTTTTTAAGCTTGTATTGTTAACAACTGCATGGTTAATGCTACTTGTTGGCCAGTATCTTTGCATCTTTGATCCAAACAAATAACATTTGAATAATCAGAATAATAGCTCCTTGGCAAAATACTGGCATTTTGTGTTTGTGGAAAAGATGTTTTCTTAACAAAGTTTTTATACTGGTACCTATGTTATTTGAATGTAAATACAAAACAAACTGTAAGCACAATTGGTGTGGCCAGTCCAAACATTATGACAAAATTTGGGCTATGATGCATATTGAGCTAACAACATCTTCCATAAAGCCTCCCAGGCAGGTATCTTATTTAATCTCTAAGTGGTGCACCTTATATTCTTGCAATCCAAGGGTATATCAGATCCTGCCTCTGGTTTGTTATTTGGTACAATCTCAGTGGAACCAATTGTGCCCTTTTCTGTTTGCACGTTTAAGATAAAATTTATCAAACCTTATTAAATAAAATTGCTAGAATTAAATATGAAATTCTTTAAAGTTGTAAGTTACTTGTATTTTATTATATACTCTCTGTGTGTGTAATTATTTTAGCCTAATATTTGTTATTTGTGAAGATTAACTGTTGTTACAGTGGTTCCATCTAGATCACATTAATATTAATAATGTTTTAACCTGTGAATATATGATAGCTTATTTCAAATTCCCTACAAATTCAAAGGTTAAAATATTGTTGTAAGGATTTGACATAGTAGAATAATTTAAAGCACTGAACCACAATCCTTATTCCATTACTTCACGTGGTATGAACACTGAGCAATTGACTCTCACCAGTTCTACTATTCTGGCATTTGATTCATTGAATTCATGACTCATCCACACAAAAGGTAACAGGGTACCATCATATATCACCAATTAATGTCATAGTCTCAGGATTTCTCTTCTTTCTTATCTGTAACTAAAAGGACCTAAAATCACGACTCAGATAGCTTTCTTCATTTAGTAAACCTTGCCATCATCACCAAATCATCTCTACTTAGTGGCACATTGGCTTTCCATTATTTCTTTACATACTGAGATTATTTATGCTGTATCTAAAATAGTAAACTGAAAAATTTTACTGATAATTTAAAACTATTTTTACATGATTGCTATTTAATTTTCCAGTACAAATGGTCATTTTAATTTATTAAAGTCATTTGTCATTTTATATTAAAATGATATTGTAGGTATTTCTTCTACCCAATGTCAGATTTCTTGTAAATATATAATAAAATTATTTGCATTAAACAATGTCTCTTTTTTTATTAACTAGCACATCTACTGTTATGTAAAATTTATATCCTCTAGTTTTATCCGTCTCCCTGCCTACATAGTGGTCCACTTCATTTCTGTTTTCTGGTGACTCTAGTCCGTTCAATTTTTATCTCCTCATTTCGATCTTTCCATATATTACTTTAGTAGATTTTTGCTTCTTTTCAGATATTTTGTTTCAATTTATTTATTCTCATCAGATGAGTCAATGGAATTAGGAGGCATACTGACATCTTCTGTTTAGAGAATGTTGGTTTCAATTTGTCACTTAATTGCTTCAGATTCCTGGAGTCCATAATAAGGCATTCCAAACTGGGAATACATCAGCAAACCTTAATTCCAATGAAACTGATTTCATGGAGACTCTAGCACCTTTTAATTTGCCCTCTGTTTTTGCTTCTTCTTTATAACCACATCTCTCCTATTCGGTAAGAACAGAGTTATCAAAATGTTATGTTAACACCTAATAGGAAATGAGTTATTTGCTTGTCAAGGAATGTCTTTTAAAATGGTTACTTGGAGATAGGTTGGGGAGGGCAGAGAGTACAGAGATTAAAACTGTACATACTGTAGACTCCGGTTTTATCTCAAACACCATATGGTCCTCTGAACATTGCCAGGTACAGTCCTGGAAGCTTCCAACAGTGCTTGTGTAGGTGGCCCCTGGAATCACGGGCACTGCAAGCTCTGAGAAGCCTCATACCCTCGGGTTCCGTCATTGAATCACCCACCAGCCCAGCTAGTGGAGAATCACTGAGAGAAGTCCTTTGGTCTCCTGATCAATACTTGGGAGTCCCATACCCAAATGGTTATCTCTGCTTTGCTTTCCCTTTTTGCCCCAAAGAAAAAAAAGGCAGTCATTTTGTAAGACTAATGACAAAGAAATGTGAGATCAGAAAAGATCACAAAAAGTCATAAAACATTTTAATAATGGTTTCTCTACATGACTTTAACCATATCCAAATAATACAATTAAGAAAACTATTATAATAATAAAATAGCATTACAAATGTCATTATCAGACACTGAAAAATAGATTGTATTTATAAATGCATAAAATAAAAAGTTAATTTTGACTAATATAAAGCAAATGGTCAAAGTGCTATATATTTAAATTTTTCTAAATATGATCTATGCCACCAAATATATTCTTGTGTATGTTTAGAAAAGGATGAGTAAAGAACTTAAACTTTCAGAATCACATATTTTGTGGAAAATTCCCTCATAAATATTAAAATTTATTTGTTTCTGTATGGTTTTTTTTTTGCCAGTACATGCATATGCTAAATGTGATAGAAAATAAATATTTGAGAGCTCATCAAGTCAAAGCATGTTCACTTAAAGTTGTTTTCAACTTTAGATATTTGTCTACTATTCTCTGTGCCTAAATCTTGCTATTCTGTGAACAGTATTAATATGAGAACAATTGTGTGGCAGTCAAGGTGCAATCTTACTATGGTGTGTAAGTGCAATGAGTTATTGTCGGCAGGGGGAATTGTGAGCTGGAGGTGAGTTGCAAATTCAATCCAAAGATCTGAATTAAGAGGAGTATTGCAGCTTCTTTTCAAATTGTTCATCAGACCAGTACTGTCAACTTTTGATTATTCTAAGTATGAGCAAAATTTGTTTAATTTAAATATATCTGTTGTATATAAGAAGAAGAGACTCCTGTTAATATTGTTTATGGAAATGGAGTCTTAACCTGATGAAATAAAAGTTTTTCAAATCCAGAGCTTACATTGGTACACACTCAGTCAAATAAATTTCTTATGAAATAAGTGTATTATCTATCAAAATTACACATAGGGGGTTCTTACTCTTTTGAGTTCTACATAGTGGAACTAAAACTGCTAATCCTCACAATGTCTTATTCATTGAAAACCATAGTTCACTCAATGGTTAAATTCTGTCTTCCAAATGAAAATATATCGAATTAAAGTTATATAAGTGATTTTCAGTGAACCACAGCAACAACATCTCCATCAATACATCTGCTTACTAAAACTATGACAAAGGAAATAAAATACTTAAATTAGTGACTACTGATTAATTTGTTCTTCTCCCTCCTCCTATCAAGCCAGTGTTGATGAGGCTAAATGCCAGCAATATGTCTTAAAGGTGTAAAGGAGAACGGAGACGTAAGAATAAAGCAAATACGGATCTACCTCTCTGGATTTTATCCTGAATAATCAAGAGTTGGCACCAACATCAGCTAGGCACCTCTAGCTCTTCTCTATTTTTTATACTGCCATTATGACATAATAATATCAGTGTTTTCCACTGCTTAATATTATGGAGTAACATTTTTTAAATGCTGGAATGTAATCACAGTAATTGCAACCCATTATATTTTTTAGCTTTTCTAAAACTAATCATGCTTTGTTAACAAATCCAAATTTTTTTTGTAATAATACTGATCTCATCATGTTAAAATTCATAAGCCTATGCTAAACTATAAGTTTATTATCATTAGAATTGGCTTTGGGTGTTACTTAAGATTACACGTGGTTATGATAAAATAATATATTTGTACAGATATACACTCAAACTTTAGTTACAAAATTTTCTAAGCTTAAAAGTTCAATGAGTAAAATGACCTATGAGTAAAATTGATTACAATTTTTTTCAGGAATCATTGCCTTATAATTATGCTATTTTCTAAATATGAATGTTAATTTTTCAACTTTTGAAATGACAGGTAGATTTTTTAAAAGAGTATTTTACTAAAAACACAATTTATAATGTAGTATATGTAAAAAACATTGTTGTGCTTTCATAAATCTTTTTTTGCCAATGGAAAGAGAAGTAGACAGGAAAATTGATGGGGCGGGGGGTGGAGAATGGAATAGAGAATGAAAGAGGAAAATAGGGGAAAAAGAGAAGTTTGGTGTCCTGATATCCAAATGCATCTTATAAAAAATCAGATTTATAGGTATACCTTCAAATAAAATTTTATTCTTAGTGCACTAAGACCATTTTTAAATTTTAACTTAAAATTCAAATACATACATAAAATATGTGAAACAAAAATGTTACTGTTCTATTGACATAAACTTCATAATTGAATTATTTGACTGCAATTCCTTTAAAAGTTCATTTTTATCACAATAAAAACATCATAAAAGTTAAAATTTCCAAAGCATTAAACTAGATTATTTTTGTGTCAAACTATTTTCAAATAATTAGATTATATTTATATATAATGCAATAAAAATATAAGACAGTAAAAATTGAAATAAACCTAACTAAAGATTTTATTTTATCACTTACACAAAACAACCCAGGATTTGAATTATGGGAAATACAAGCACACACACGCACACCTGCTTCAAATTAAGGATTTTTTATATTTAACAACAAGTTTCCATAATGTTTCAGTAGTGTCTATAAATTATTCTTCTTAGGAGTTTTAGAATAAATTTCAATTAATGTTTTTAAAAAAGCAATAATTAGGCTATTCATGTGAATTGTGCAATCTAAGTATGCATATATTACATCATGACTTTCAAACATGGTTCAAAATTATAACTCAGAGAAATCGTAAATGAAGAGTATTGACTATGCTATCCAGTTGTTGGTTTAAGTCCTGGTTCATTACCTATAGCAGTGTTATCTGACTAAGTGATTTAAATACTCTAAGCCTTTGTTTCTTCATCCAGAAGAGGCAGTAACAAACATCTGCATATAGCAATATGTATTTTTCATTGTTAACTATTATTTTGGAATTTAGTGTGATGATTCTCAACCAGGGCTAAAGATTTACCATCGCGGGGACATTTGGCAGTGTCTGAAACTACCTGTGACGTATTCGATATGCCAAACGCAGTAACAACAAGTGTCACAATGGAGATGTTACTGGGTCCACTCTAGCAAATCCATGAACAATGGGAGGACAGTGCAGTGCAGCGCAGTGCAGAGGATACTCTGACTTGTTATAACTGGTTAACAGAAAGCGGTGCTTTTGCTATTTAGTCTGCGGAGGCCAGCATGCTTACTCTCATATCTTGTATAGCTAGCACTTTGTGGCCAAAAACTAGGCAGTCTGTAATGTTGGTAGGGAGTAGACTGAGAAAAGCCTGATTCAATTCAAATGATATAACAGATAATTCAAGCTTGTTGCTTTAGTTTGTTATTAGCTATTTCATAGCACACTTTATACCTCACAACAACAAAAAAAGGTGATTTTATTTCAAATTGAAATTTTACTGGTCTTTTAAGTTTTGCTAATGTCTACCTTTGATTACAGCCATAACTTTATTTTCATATTGTACTCTAGTGCCTTGTAGCCACAGTAATTTCTAAACTTAAAGTTTAACGGTCACCCTCTTAGAAGGAAATGGTTCACTATAAGTATCAGTTTCTTTTTTTAACTGCATTCTATTTGATAAAACTCCAAAAAGAAATCAAAGAGAAACATAAAGGGAAAAAGGAGTCTAAGATATTATTTTAGCTGGAGCTGGGAGATAGCAAAGAGGTAGGACGTTTGCCTTGAGCGCAGCTGGCCCGGCCAAGCCAGGTTCGATTCCTCTGCCCCTCTCAGAGAGCCTGGAAAGCTACCAAGAGTATCTCGCCCACACGGCAAAGCCTAGCAAGCTACCTGTGATGTATTCAATATGCCAAACACGGTAACATCAAGTCTCATGATGGAAACATTACTGGGCCCGCTCCAGCAAATCGATGAACAACAGGAGGACCATGACCGTGAAGATATTATTTTAATAAAAATTATTTTCAATGTTAATACACTTAGAGTCTAAGTAACCATTTATTTAATTTATATGTTCTGATAATTATTTCTTTGTTTTAAAAATTATAATTTTACATTCTAATGTAATTCTATATAACTCTAAATCCTACTACAATTTGAAATCAACCCACTTATAGTAAAGTAAAAGTAAAGTAAAGGCCCTCCCGTTGATCATCAATTTGCTCGAGTGGGCCCAGTAACGTCCCCATTGGAGACTTTGTTGTTACTGTGTCTGGCATATCAAATACTCTCGGTAGCTTGCCGGGCTCTCCGAGAGGGGCGGAGGAATCGAACTCAGGTCGGCCATGTTGGCTGCATGCAAGGCAAACGCCCTACCCGCTGTGCTATCGCTCAAATGCTAAAATATTCTTTGTATTTCTTATAACTAGCTTAATAAAATAGTATTCATGAAATCTAACTTGAGATTGATAATGATCAAAATAATGATGTCAAAAAGGAAAAACATGTTATTTCACTATATGCTATAAATATTGATCTAATTTGGCAAACATCTTTTCTATTTTGGATTTGCCAAATATACAAAAATTACTACATATATACATATATACACGTTACATATATATTGTGTGTATATATGGGACTTAATTTATGAATAATATTTTTAAACTATGAGAATAACCTTGATTTCCAAATATGATATTAGTTTAGAGCTCTAAACATTTGTATATTTCATTTTTTTAAAAAAAATCTGCTTACAAGAAGCAAATAGATATTATCTTGGTTAAAATTATTTTGTTGACGTGTAATCTTCAGAATACTCCAAATGCCAATAGAACACATGTTATTTGGTAAAGGAAGAAAGCTCTGGTATATTGGGTTACAGTAAAAAATAAAATATTTGGAGGTATTATAAAAACAGTATAATGATGATTATCACCTAAAGATGCAGCTATATAAAATAACGTTCTGTCTCTTGAAGAATTTGGTCTTCAACTACTTAGCTGTGAGATTTTAAAAATATATAAAAAGCTTACTTCTTTTAGCAAAAATTAAAGTGCTTGTGCATTTTGTAGGTCCACATTTTCAAAACTGTTCAATGAAATTGTATCCTTTAAGTATTAATTAGCATTAATTGTAAATTTTGACTCTTCTAAGCCATCAAAATACTGATGTCATTAAAGGACAAACATGTTATTTCACTATATGCTCTAAGTATTGATTTAACTGCAAATAGATTTCCATGGTACAACTTTGGACCCTGCCTTTGAAAATTGGACCTTGTATGGCTAAATTGGGACTGTAATCTAATTAGCTTTCGCAAATCATTTGCCTCTGTGCCAGCTTGAAATATTGAGGTTGCTGCCAATTGAATCAATACATACATCCAATGTGTGCTTTCTTCATGCAGGGATTTGAGGCGACTTGGAGTGACTCTTGTCGGTCACCAGAAGAAGATCATGAACAGCCTTCAAGAAATGAAGGTGCAGCTGGTAAATGGGATGGTGCCATTGTAACTTCATTTTAACATAACTTCATCAAGTGAATGATTCTGCACTTTGTAAACAGCCCTGAGATTTATTTTAACAAAAGAGGGAGTGGGATAGGGAAAAATTCAGTGATTTCTAAAACTTGAGAAGTGCATTTGTTTCAGCCACAGAATTTGTAATCAGTGTTCTACTAAAATCTCATCTTCCTCTCAGTATCTTCATTTTTCATGAAGAAAATATAACTTGTGTGGAATGAGAACTTGCAGCTAAGCATTATCTTGTGTTACATCAACAAAATCCTTCACAACACTTCCACAAAATTTTATACATGAAATATATTATTATCTGTAGCACCTTTATAGACTGAATTATGCAAGCCCTTTCAAAACTTCCAAGAATCTACTTGACAGGAGAAGATTTATAGCCATGTGTGGGCTAACAAAAGCTGCGATTTACTGAAGTTTACTTCAAGTCTAAATTGTCTACATAAGTGTATTGAAGAGCAATATGGTTAGATAATTTCTCAATAGATACCTTCTTTTGTAATTTAAAATGCTGTTACACAGCATTAAGTAAAAGGAATTAGTGTAAAAACATGTTGCTTGATAAGGACAAATACAATACAGGGTGTATATTTATTTTTCTGTGTTATAAATTTTACTTCTAGTTGCTCTTCTAGAAACTATTAGGTAATAAATGTGTATATGCTGTATAAATTACTGTATACCCAGCAACCAATTTACATTTTGAATTGTGTGTTTGAGCTTGCACATGTGTGCATTACCATTCTGTTTGCATCCTTAATACTGTTTTAATTTTAGCAACATACAGGAGCAAATGTTCCAAAGTATAATATGAATAGAAAACATAGAGAAGCAGTAAAATTTAACATAAGCTTGTGTCTTTTCTTCCTCTCATGTGTCCAAAAGCTACTAAATCTCTTTATTCACTAACAGGAAATGTCTATAAGATTAAATCCCCTTTGGCTTTTTAAAAACACTTTGTGATATCTGTGACAATGCAGTTCTTCTAACCATTAATCTTGCACCCTTGTAAGAAATTTCACCTTTCTCAGTCCCAGAAAATATCTTGTCAAGAAAAGTTGACACCGAAGGGCACATTTTCAGCAGGATGTAGGAGGATTTAACTGTGCAGGTTTCTGTTAATGTTGTTAAATCCAGGCACATAGCACTAAGCATTACCCTTAAGTGTTAATCCTTTGTAACCATTTCCCCTGTGGCTCAGCTCTACAAATTTGATACTAAGGCAGCAATGAAATGATGACAAATGTGTGTGTGTGCTTCTGCATGCATGGGTGTCTGTGTCTTGTGTGTATGTATATGTGTGTAAAATGCATTTTTCCTCCAAAGTGATCTGTTTCAAGACTTAGCAAGTTTAATTTGTTGATTGCTATATATTCATTAGGTAATTTCATCTAGTATTCATGCACATGGAAATTGATTTAATTTTGATGAATGAACACAAATAATTACCTAATGGACCTTAATAAGGAATATATTAAGTATGCCCTATATGTTCACAATTGGTGAAAACTAATATTTATGATACATATTGTACAATTTATTAGAAGAAACTGAACAAATTGAGTTTCTTGGTGAATTAACCACATTTTTGCATTACTGCACTTTACAGAAATCACGGAAGGACATATGATCAAGTAGCACAGTGTTTTTAAATTTATAGCCATAATTGCAAATGGCACTATTATACTGGAATGGACTGGATTCATGAATCCATAAAAAATAAAACTGCATTATATATACTTTTTCCTTTCCAAACATGTGTTTTTTGAATTCTTATACATTCAAAATAAGATCTTGGAGGGAAAATTTCTATTCTCCCCACCATTAGTATAAGAAATGAACAAACTTTTCTAAGGAACTTGGAGTAATGGGAAAAAAAAAGAAAAGATTTCAAATAAATTTCAATTCTATTTGATTACAGCTAAAATTCTTATTAGGACTATACTCTATCATGGATCAAAAACAAACTATGTATACTTCACACATTGTCAAGTTTAGTAAACTTTTCAGAGAAAGAGAAATAATTTTGCATTGTCTTGTTAAAATGACCTATAAATAAGAACCACATTATTAAAGATTCATTTATTAATGTCAGTACATATAAACTTAATTCACTTTGCACCTTATAATTGAAGATTGTATTGTACATTATTAAATTTTACAAGTACAACCGAATTTATGTGATAAAATAATAATTGAGAAACTTCAAGACTGCAACAATGATTGGGAGATCAAGATAAATTTTATCTAAGTGAGTAGAATTTGAATTTACATGATATATTTTTTCCACAAAGAATATTTTAAATCAATTTGTATTAAATTTAATTTGTATCTTTTGCAGTCCTGGAAATAGATGGGATGAAAATTAAATACATGCAAAACTTCAACCATATCTTACTCTGGTTGAAAAGTTCTAAGGAATGTCAATGCAATTTTATAAACAATAAAGATACCCTCAGATTACTTGTATTCTCTTTTTCAATGAAAAAAATTCCTTCTAAAATATTTGTTCACCATTGGATATGTCACCAATTGGAAAGTGCCAATCTCATCTATTAATGTGAGAGATAGAACAAGGAGAAGAAGCATCTCCCTTGAAATATAGTGAAGCAATAATCCAGGGCGAGGTTTGACAAATACTAATTGTGTTATTTCTTTAATCTGTTTGGATCATTCTGTCCCTTATAAAATGACTAGAAACATAGACAATAATTTTAGCAGATTAGGTAGAATTGTAGAATAAAATAGTTACTGGCATTATAAAACTTTAAGGGATGCAGTTTTTTTCAGTGTTGAATTTTGGAAAAGAAGTATAAGCAGGAATCAGTTTTCAAATTACCTGATAATTGTTGAAGTCACTCAATTACTATTTTAAACAATAATAATTTATTTCCTAATCTTGTCATTTGCTCACATGTGAAAATGACATATAATAAATTGTTCATAGACATTGAAATGTATGGACTGTTTGTAAAATTGTAAGGAATTTTATTTCTCCACTTTGAAAAAGATGAATGTGCATGTTCTTTTATTTCTTGCATTTAAACCACCAGGTCAGTGTTCGAAAGTTGTAGGATTACTTGTAAAAAATATATTCTATCTAAACTTAAGTATGACCAGCATTATTAATTTTTGAGTTGCCAAAATCATATAAATCATTGTTAACTCCAATTGTAAATGCTTTTGTTAATATGCAATGATGAGCGATAGTTTCACTTTCAAGTTTCAAAAAATAATATCATTTGAACACTTAGGTGTTGCATGTCTACTACTTAATCACTAGGTGAGAATTAAGTTGTTTTTAATTTTTTTTCTTTCATTTAAAGTGGGTTCTTATAAGCACAAAAAGATATATTTACCTGTGGGAGAAATTTTGGGCTGTGATTGTGCATTGAATGAAAATGCTATTTGAGGACAGATGTAGACTTTTATTAGAAGTATGGTGTTGCATAGTAGAATAAGATTCTTTTCTTGTTTTGTTCTATTTAAAAATAAGGGGGAAAAAAGCTAATTATTATAGTAAATTATCGTTGCTTATGTCCTGCCAGATGCTTAACCTCAAAGTAAATAAAAAGTAGGTGTACAATAAGATAACAATCAAATGCTAGTTTTATTTGGTATTAATAAGCAGAATAAGGCATCATTTTCATCTCTGTAGCATAGCTGAATACTAATCTGTTATGCAGTTAAATAGTAACAGGTCAAAGATAAATTGATAAAACCTTTATTTTCTTGATAATGAAAATACCATTTTATGAAAATATCATTTTATAATTTTACACATAAATGATTGGTTATTCTTATTTAGAATGACCATGCAGTTATTTCTTACAAGGCAGCAATCATTTCTCTTTTTTTGCCTTTAATAATTAGAATCAAATGCCATTTGTTCTCTCTAAATGTTTATGACAAAAATTGAAGCTGGCAAAAAGATTGATACTGGAATATACTAACAACAAAACTTCAGTGGTCAACATATTTGTGAACCCTGGGTCAGGGCAATAGTACAGCAGGTGAAGTACTTGCCTTTTATGGGGTTCATCCCCAACATCCCATATGGTGCCCCAAGTCTCACCAGGAGTCTCACTTCCTGAGTGCAGTCAGAAGTTGTCCCTGAACATGCAGGATGTGGCCCCAAAACAAAACAAACAGACATATTTATGGATCCTTAAACTGCTAGCTTTATAATTGTTTCGAAATGCATAAAGTTCATGTAGATGATGTGATACTGAAAGTGTGATTCATTCATCTCCTGTATGTTTATTAAAATATCTTAGTTCCAGGCAGGTCAGAGCAGCTGAACAGCATATCTTACTCTCTGCTAGGCACTGGAATATCTCAAGTTCCTGCCTTAGCATCAATTAAAGGGAGGATTAATATTTCTCTAATTCACCTCTTTGAATCTCTGTGTGAATTTGGTTTGTGTACATGTTTTTTGTAGTGTAAGATACAAAATTTTATATTTTTTCAGAAAATAAAAACCCTTTGAATACAGTTAAAACCTGTTGTCGTGTTTGACGCTTACCCAAATACTTGAAGATTCTAATCTTTGTATAATTTTCATGTTTGATCCTAATAAAATTCTTGCATTACTGTGCTATTTAAGATGCAATCCACATCCATTTTCTTCAAGACATATTCGTGAGTCTTTGTATTCAAGCATCTTCGGCAACTAGAGTGTGGCACGGACATTGTAGGACATGAACATATTATGTGGAACCTAATTAGAAATTGATTTGTAACAGTATAATACATTACTGGTGGCAGGGGCAGAAAACTCCTTATCATCAGCAAAAAGACTTTCTGCTGACCAGCAGTGGACGGTCACATCTCTGCTTATGGCACAAATTGAATGAATTGCTTTATTACAGGCAGTTTTGTCATTAAGTACACACATCCTCCTATATCTGTATACTGGTCTCCTTTCAAAAAGAATGTAACAGACAAGGCTTTGTGTTCAAGTAACTAGCAAAAATTTGTAATATCTTGCATTTGCATTCATGAAATTACAGCATTGTAGCCTATTAAAATAATCCCTAATTTATTTTCTTTGGAATACAATGACTATCACAAGATATAGTATAATATTTGCTTAATAGTCACCTGTAAAGTGTCTAATTTCTTTGTTATCAGTAATTCTATCCTTTCCCTTCTTTGCAACAGAGGAAAAAGGCAATAGGCACCCTTTACCAGATAGGTAAGGCATCATGGCAGTGATAGAAAAGTTAGCATTTAGTAAAAGTGCATTAAAACTATTAAAAATATTTATGTTCAGGTTGCTTACATTTTTTTGTCTCTTGATCAGAAATCTCAACTCAGAGCTTAAAAAAGAAAAATAGCCTAAGACAGGAGGTTGGAGCGATAGCACAGCAGGTAAGGTGTTTTTGCCTTTCATGCAGCCAACATGGCCTACCTGAGTTCGATTCCTCCACCTCTCTCGGAGAGCCCGGCAAGCTACCAAGAGTATGCAAAGACTGGCAAGCTACCTGTGTCGTATTCGATATGCCAAACACAGTAACGAGTGTCACAATGGAGGCGTTACTGGGCCCGCTCAAGCAAATTGATGAACAACGGGAGGACAGTGACAGCCTAAGACTGTGTTTTTTTTTTTTTAATTTTTATTAGTGAAACACCAAGAGGTACAATTGTAGACTTACAAATTTTTGTGCTTGGGTTTCAGTTATACAATGATCAAGTACCCATCCCTCCACCAGTGCCCATTTTCCACCACCAGGGCTCCCAGTATCTTCCCCACCCCCATCCCCCCATCCCACCCTGCCTCTGTGGCAGGGCATTCCTTTTTGTTCTCTCTCTCTCTCCTTTTGGGTGTTGTGGTTTGCAAAAGAGGCATTGAGTGGCAATCATGTTTGGTTTATAGTCTACTTTCAGCATGCTTCTCCCATCCTGGGAGGATCCTCCCCACACCTTTTATTTGGTGCTCCCTTCTCTATCTGAGCTCCCTTTTCCCCTAGCATGTGTGGCTGGCCTCCAAGTCATGGAGCAAAATTCCTGGTTACTAATCCTGGCCACTCTTGGGTGTTAGTCTCCTATTTTGTTACTTTATGTTCCCCAGATGAATGCAATCGTTCTATGTCTATCCCTCTCTTTCTGACTCATTTCCCTTAACACGATACTATGTTTTTAAAGGTAGAATGAAGACCACATTTATTTAAGCCCAAAACCAAACTTTCCATTACACTTTTCTGGTTCCACTATGTTAACCGTGCTATGTACAAAATAAATCACTTACACTAAACTCCTAATTTAGTTGTTAGAGAAACTGATGTTTAG